ACAAGTGCTCACTTTCTCGCATAAATGGCTTGTCGCATTATTCCCGTGCGGTTTGCTTCGAGTTGAGCTTCATGCGCACATTGCTCGAAGTACTCTGGAAGTAGTTTATTAATAACCAGTCGGCTCGCCCGGCTGACGCTAAGTCTCTCCTTCTTTTTAGCTCGGCTTCGCCGAGCTGGCCTGGCTTCGCCAGGCGCGCTTCATAATGGAAACAGGAATTTGTTCATTCACTGAGCTGCTCATACTGCGCTGTACTGCATACAGTATATACAGAATACTGTGATGATGGAATCGTGATGGATAGAGTAACTCAGCAAATTCTGCACACTTGAGTCCACGCTTACATTTGAAGGAAGGGTGGTGATTTCGCCACAGTGCCCATACTATACATATCTCTAGATATAAAGTGTAGTTAGCTGCGGACGGTTGGGCGTGTCAGTGCGGCTGCGTTTGGCGCGGTGCCAAACTCGTTCTCCACCAGTTGTTGAAGCGGGCAAGTGACAATACTGTATCATATCCTTCGTATTACTCGTTTTCTACCACTTTTTGTCGCATGCGCGTTTCAACAAGAAGGCAGAGAACGGCTTCGACGGTGTGAACACTCATACTGCCTGACACGCCCAACCGTCCGCAGCGAACTAGAGTGTAGCTAGAAGCTACACTGCACTACTACAATACAGTACAGTTCCAGAGTACAATACGAATCGCTCAGTAAATGAACAAACCTCGTTTCCACTACCTGCACCAAAATGCCTACCGATGAGCGTTTATTCTTTTGCCATGCAATCCACTCGCTGAAGCCGTATAAATGATTGCAGGTGCTGGATTTTTTTTTGCATCTCCTTATCAATCCTTCTCATCAGTAATCATAAGTTTGAAAGTAAAAAATGTCACTCTCACCGATTGAACAATTTTGCGGACAGACAAACATACATACAGTTCCTCATCATTGCGGACCGGTGGGGCGTGTCAGCCAGTATGAGTGTGCACACTGTTGAAGCCGTTCTCAGCCTTTTTGTTGAAACGCGTATGCGAAAAAAGTGGTAGAAAACGAGTAATACGGAGGATATAATACAGTAATGTCACTTGCCCGCGGAAGATACCCAAGATGTTCCTCGATAAGCAGGAGCTGGCTCTTGCCCATCACCTTCATGTACACCATGAAGTCATCTCCAGTCGCGGCCTGAGTGGAGAACGCCTTTGGAATTCACGTGGCCTCCAAACAGCTGCGGAACTTCTTGAATGGAATCACCCATGGATAGCTACCTGGAGACCAGTACTCTTGATCTGCAAGACCTCAAACATCGAGCAGCTCCGGCAACGTCGCTACGGTCCAGGACATCATCTTCACCCCATTCACCAAGGCGCGGGTTGATGGTGTGGACCGGCCGTACCTGGAATGGATGAACCGATATTTTCTTCGTGGGCCCCAGACTGAGGGTGTGCGCTGGTGGCTACATCGAGCAACTCGAGGAGAATATCCCATCTTCATGTCGTCGCCCGTACCTTCTTGGAAACTTTGTACTGCTACAGGATTGGGTGACAACACATTTAATCGAAGGGCGTTGGAAAAACTTTCGCCTACTTGGAATGGAAGAACGTTGAGTACCTGGAAAAGATGGAGTATTTAAGCGGGGGTCCTGAACTAAACCCCCTCAATTACTCGGTTCGGGCGGAGCTCAACAGGGTGGTCTACAGTGGCGGAGAAATCAACGATCTCGCTCAACTCCGGTACCCACTCACTTTCGCGCGGCCGAATCTCTCGATGGCGCTCCTCCAGAAGGCTGTGGCGGAGTATTATATAGTATTTAATGTGCTCTTTAATATGGTAGTAAAAATGTCCGATAAAAATTTAATAAAGTGTAACTTATAGCGCCTTGAAAGTCATGGAGGCAAAATGACTTTTTTTTGGCCCCCCTGTATGCCTATTATTCTTTAATATATACCTATTATTCTTTATTATTATTTATATTTTCACTTTGAATTCACCCTTTTTCAAACCAAATTCACCCCTTTTCAAACCAAACCACCTTCCCAATCGAATTCACCCACCTTCCGATCCGAATTCACCACACTTATTAGGCCGCGCAATTCATCAACCAAATCACGCCAGACACTACTGCGGGCCCCGCCCCCTCGGCCACGCCCACTTGCTTTTTGCGGAATTTTGATATTTTTTCAAAATTTTTGCATTTTTGGACTGCTACGTGAAGCCCCGCCCACTGTGAGAGGCTCCGCCCACTTTGGAGAAGCCCCGCCCACTTTTCAAAAATGGTGCAAATCGGCAGTATAGGGTCTTGGCTTGCATGCTAGGGTATTGCTGATCATTCGGAATAAACTTTGCCTGATTTTCTTGTTCCGAGTGACGAACGAGACCCTAGCATGCAAGCCAAGACTCTATACTGCCGATTGCACCATTTTTGAAAAGTGGGCGGGGCTTCTTCAAAGTGGGCGGAGCCTCTCACAGTGGGCGGGGCTTCACGTAGCAGTCCAAAAATGCAAAATTTTGAAAAATATCAAAATTCCGCAAAAAGCAAGTGGGCGTGGCCGAGGGGGCGGGGCCCGCAGTAGTGTCTGGCGTGATTTGGTTGATGAATTGCGCAGCCTAATAAGTGTGGTGAATTCGATTTGGAAGGTGGGTGAATTGAATTCGATTTGGAAGGTGGGTGAATTTGGTTTGAAAAGGGGTGAATTTGGTTTGAAAAGGGGTGAATTTGGTTTGAAAAGGGGTGAATTTGGTTTGAAAAGGGGTGAATTTGGTTTGAAAAAGGGTGAATTTGGTTTGAAAAAGGGTGAATTTGGTTTGAAAAGGGTGAATTTAAAGTGAAAATGGTATATTCAGCGCCAACTCCGTCAGCTTGTCATCGCACACCGTGCCTTTAAAGGCTAAACATAGTACCCTAGCCTGAGGTCCTCACCAAACTTTTGAACAGTCGCTTTGGCTGGACATACACAAAACTATTTCACTTGATGAATGCGCCATACCTCGCAGTTTATGAACATCAGGCATAATGTGCTCCTGCAGTTCTGTCATCTGCGCCCCGGTCATCTTCAGCGCCATTTCCAGGTGCTCAAGGGCTTTTTCGGCGGCCTGAAAATGTTGCATGGAGGAGTTATTCCATGATGAAAGTGTTCCAAGAGGCGACAAAATTGCTGAAAGAATAAGAGAGTGGAGAGATTCACCTGCAGTTGCTTTTCAGCTCCCAATCGCGCCATGACTTGCTGACGAAGTTCTGATTCGGTTAATTCCTTCTGTTCATTGACCTCCTTAAATTGTACTCAAATGATACGGCAGTATTAGTGTCCGACAGTAGACGCAGTGTGCGGGCGGGGAATGTGACCCTATTTCGACCCTTATAACCGTTTCTATAAGGCTCTTTCCACTCCGTTCAGGCGGGGGAGACATGGGGAGTGAGACCTACCATGGCTTCCCATTCATTTTCGGACCCTTCTCCATTTTTAGGGACACGTTAATGAGGAGGCGCTAGAGTTGACTGTCTCACGCGAAAGTTCAGCGTAGGCAAAGCCTTTGATTATTAGACACCTACCAATTGATGGCTATCCATAATGGTTGCTGCTTAATTACAGTAATATGTAACAATTCTCATAGTATACCTACCTTGAGGTTCAGAAGGAGCTCCTGAGTTTGTTTTGTGTAATACTGCCGTTCCTTCTCAAGATCTAAGGTCTTGTTTTCGTTCATTTGTAACCTGAACGATTTATTGTTTATTTGTTCAATTGTTTACTTATCTGTCTGTTTATCTTCCCGAATGACCGTCGAGAACACACGGTGGGCTGGTAAAGACAGGTAGTAAAAGACTCACAACATCTCGATTTTCTCTTTCTCAACGGCCATGCAGTTGGTTTTGGTCTCGATCTCAGTCAGGCGATTCTTCAGATGACAAGTTGTTGTTGAGAGATTCTGATTTTCTAGTAGGAACTGCTCGCGTTCGCGCATGATATCTTGGAAATGCTCTTGGATCTTCTCCTTCTCTATATTCAGCGACTGAAAGAAAAACTAGCCGGTTCAAATAGACTGTAGCTTTTAGATTCTACGAATTAGTTATTATACGAATACGAAAAACGTCAAGGGGGATGGAGACATTGGCGTTAAAAACCTTGGGGGAGGGCTATGTGAAGGCCCTTCGTGCACAACTGGGATTACCTTGAAAGGCTTACTGTACCTGAGAGTGGTTCACCTGCTCGTGAGCTTCTTCCCCTTTAGGCTTAGGCAAAAGTCTTGCACTCTCTTGCGCTAATCCCAGCTTTGCACACTATATTTTGAATTCCACCCCCAAGGTTAGTAGTGCCGAAAGTCCATAGATCTTTGACTATTTCTCCGATTTACTCTAGCGGGTAATACCTCCATGTTCGCCTGAAGATATTCGTTTTTTGAATTCAGTGAGATCTTCTCCTGTTCCAGTGTCATTTTCATCTCATTCGTGACTTTCAGCTCGCTAAATATTCACAAAGTAATTTTTCTCTCAATGTCTGAAGATAACCATACAATGGAGAACGTGCTGCGCCAAGTGAGAAACGCTTTTACGGTCAACCTTCTGACTTATTCTCGAAGTAACAAACTTTTTCTTGCCAAGGCGGCTTCAAGGCACATTCCTTCACATCGGATGGGCGGAGGAACTTGCACAAGTGCATATCTAGTGATTGCACTCCACTTCTGCGGTAAGGGGAAATGTACCGTTAAAGGCTGAGCCCGCGTTTAAAAATGATGCACTTTGGGCTCATATAACGCTAAGGCAGCCTGTGATTCAATAGTAAGTATTTAAGCAGGAGAAGTCATGGGGAATGCCCTGTATAGAACTTCATGCTGAACTGAGATCGTACGTCCATAAGGAGAACAAAGGCGAGGTTGGACGAGCCCTAACTTGTTGCTGCCTTCCTTTTCTCCTTATCACCTCACTCTTACTAAATCAAGTGCGGGGAGTTGATAGCAGAACAACCAGGTGACAGTCAAAACACAACGCTGGGCGTCGCGGCAGCCAGGTGGCGGGGCGGCAGCCCCTTCGCGAGCGTGCGGCGCTTTCCTCTCGTATTTTTGACTGGCGATTAGTACATCCTCCATCCTTGTAGGAGTGCTATCTCGAACAGGGCGTAAGAGCACCAAATGAACGCGGGCCGTGCTTTTAATAAGAGCCTCTCTGCTTTGATCGATTTTGAATTCGCGCATTCACATGCTCAGGCTTCTGTATGAACAAGCTATTCGGAACTCCTCCACGAGCTTGAGTTGAGTTGAAATACGCAACACGTTTCATATATAAGGTTCACTCTCATAGTCAGCAATTTTTCTTTTGTTCATTTCGAGATGCGGAGAAGTACATCATAATTCATCATCATCAAAGTTGCACGCTTTGGGCAACGATGATGCAGGTCGGGTCGGTGCCACGGTTTCTCAAACTCTCTCACACACTGCACCATCTTGTTCCTGCCCCTCAACTCCTTCGACAAATAAGATCTGCTCTTTACAAATCATATACTCCACAACTGGTTAGATCGCGTTCATACTGCGCGACTCAAGCAATCCTGCTGAACAAATTGCGCTTCACGCATCTACTGTTTGTTCAGTTGCATTGAGGATGAAACTCCCAACCACACCAGCAGTCCAGCCACTAGCCGCTGTGCGCGTTTTATCGCAGTCGGGCAACTAATTATAAACATACTTTACCCAAAAGGGATCTGTCCTTTCGCGATGTTCACTTACTTCTTGACGTTCTGGTAGTCGTCCTTGAGCTTTTTCGTTGTGCGGATCAGCTTCTCGCGTTCATTTTCGAGTTCTGCCTTTACCCGTGCCAGTTCCTGGAATGCAGTACACTAACAACATCTTTTTTCATTACGAAAATGTGTTGTTTGGCGCCTAAATATTTAGCGGTCGTAAAACATCCTCAACATTTCTTTGCATATCCTCATGAACATCCCCATCGATACTAGGGGTAGAGCTTAAGCCCCAAGGCCCCGAAGCAGACTTTTTCCCCACCGTTGCTGGAATACGCCACGCATTCCAACAATGGTGGGGACAAAAACCATCATTATCACCAAAAGCCATCATTTACATTACACATTTGTCTATAGGTCGTCTTGTGTCGATAATTTCCTGATCTCAATTCCGTGCACTATGCCAAGCAACTAGAGGCTCAATCCTTATCCCTGAGCCAGAGCAGGCGTGGCATTTGAACATGGCACGGAACTGGTTACTCGTGGAATATTCCAGTCTGGGACAACTGTCATCTTGTTCTGTGTTGGACAGAGACACGACAACAATTGTGTCAAGATGAAAATATCTCACCAGAAGCATAGACACCTTCAGGTTAAGTTGAATCATGCGGCCACGCCTGCCCTATCTCAGGGATTTTGTATAGGTACAGCACTGTGAAACGAAACAGCGAAAATCCAGAACCGGGAAAAAATTCTCGCTCACGGAAAAATCTTCTTAAGGCTTTATGTGACCCACCTCGCTTGAAGCGACGAGCAAAAGGACCCATTTAATGTAGGTCCCCTGACGATGACGATAGTGCGCGTGAAACAGGAAAAATCATTTGTCGGGAAAAATTTTTCTCAAGCCAAATACGACCCTTCTCGCTAAGGATTATCCACTGTGCGAGGTGCCCTGAGCATGCGGGACCAATCTGTCACACTGTGCATTTTAATAAGACCCCGTCCCTCTTCAAGTAGTTTGTGGCGCCAAATTCAATTTGTTGGTGCAAAATTCAGAGCGTCAAATCACTAGTCCGAAAGCAATTATGCTACGATTAAAACTGAGAGCGTAGAGTTAGACCACTGAAAGAAATTCGTACAGAAAGGGACCGGTACCTGGAAACGATCGAACGAATTCAACGGTTCTTCCACTTTTCCTTACCTAAGGTGCGGGCATGAACCACACTGTTCCAAGAGTGAGCTATGTTGAACTCATTTGACAACCTTTGAAAGATACGTCACGGTATTGCACTGTTCTCTTATAACGCATTCTGCTGACTCAGCAGTGCAGGGTCTGACGTTGGAACGTTAGCCAGGACAAAGTTCCCTCCAGCAAGAATACGTCACACATTCCCTTTTTGCTTTTTCACCTTTCTGACACATTGACGAGCGCGCAATCCACCGTTAGAGGGTTGTCCATCCTGGAGTTCCCCCGAATTGACCAACAGTTTTGTTCCCCTTCTCAACCTTTTGTTCAAGTGGTTGCTCGAGTGTCCGTCGCTAAACAACTATATGGCTCAAATCGGGTAAGATATTCCAAGGAATGTGATGTGCCAAATCCGCGTTTTCGCTAATGTCCAGCAAATACGAACCAGTTATTGTCTTGGCCCCTTAGGCAATGTTCTCGTACATGAAATTTTTGACAATTTTTAGTCCATCAAAATGGAGTGTCGGGTCGCACAAATGACAGTTCACGACACCACCGATTTGTCTCAATCGTGGCACCCTCACTGCTCAAACAACTCGAAGCTTGTAGTGTGGACGGCCAAGGAACGGTGCTTCTTACCATTAGGACAGGCATGAAGTGGACTTAAGTGATTAAGAGATGAGAATTTGGACTTTGTGAATGTGCATCGCATAGGGGGGAGGGCTTTCGGGAAGCGACTGACCTGCAGTACCCACTACCAAGTCCTGAACTTTCCCCAGAACAGAAGGTGATGCTCAATGAAAACGTGGGAGCGTTCCATGACACCTACCAAATCCCAACTATATCGCTTGAAATTTGCGCTGAGCCGTTTCTGTAAGTTCCCGATCGCACCCAACAGTCGCTAGTTGTCCATGAGGTCGAAATCGAATCCCTTGGATCGCTCAAACCATTTTTTGCTTTCTTAAGGGATATTGATTCACCGAATTCTCTCACTAAATAGACTTCTACGGTATCGCACTAGAAGGTAGGTGGGATAAAGTCTTCGAAAATATGCATACACTCCTAGAGGGGGGATTTATCTATCAATACAAAGGGCAATCATAACTGAAAGTCCTATGGAAAGGGCCCCAGGGCAGGGCATGACTTTATGGCGCTTTTTCGAACTACGCCCCCCCCCCCTCCCCTCCCCCTCCCCAATACTTTGAGCGGGACACTCATGTGATCAACTACCAGAAATATAGAAATTGTCGTTGATTAGGGTGGTGTATAGTGCGCGTGTTGGTCCCACGAGGAAAACTTCGGTCAGTATGGCTTTCAGTTGAGGGAAATGTGCCATTACGCTATGTTAAAAAATTTGGCAGTCATTGAAAGGTACGGCGCAGAAATACCACCATTCTTTCATAGCGCTTGCTGCAGGGCACATCATTGTTGCAGATCCCCAACAGGGGAGGATCGTACTCAGCAGCCAGGAGAGTGGAGCCGTATTTGGGCTGAGAAAACTTTATTTTTGATGGTTGATTTTTCTCGGACACTTTTTCTTTTTCACGGACGTTGTAACAGGGGAGGGGTCGTATTTAGTTTTTGGCCTTTCAGAAGTGGTTGGGAGTGGTGGTTGACTTTTCTTAGCGTTTTTCCTGTTTCATGTGTAGCATATAATCCCCCCCCCCTCCACGGCTCGATTCGATGAGGCAGGGCACAGCATTGGTTGGGGAATCCCCATGGGGGGGGGTCGTATTTGGCCGCCAGGAGAGGGGGGGGGTCGTAATGAGTGCGTAGCCAGTATCGAGCAGCGCAAAGGTGTCAATGTGCTGAGTCCGGTACAGCGAAGCTTACTTTGTAGAGAACTCGGATATTTGAAAAAAGGACAAAACTTTCAGCCATAAAAATGCGAAATAACTGGAATTTAAATGAGTCGACATCATCTCGTAAGTCCGTTGATGACTAAACAGTAAACGCATACTCTGATTTGCTGCAGATGATGGGGCGTGTCCGCGATTGCGCTTGGGGCTGAGCCAGCCTATTTTTTTCGACAAGCGACAGGACTACCATATCGTTCGTATCAGACGTTTTCCAGCAGTTGGTCTCCTTTATCGGAGACAGCAATTGGCGGAGCACAGATCTGGCGGCGTCGACACGACACGCTCCATCATCCGCAAGGGAAAACACTGTAAACAAGTGCACAGGTTCGTCCATGGACCTCCCTGAATCCTATAGACACATTTGCTCGCGTGAACAGACATTACGCACAAGTTGCACCATCCCATCACCTCTGCGCGGACCTCAGTGCGCGGCGCATCCAAAGTCAGCGTGATCGGCGCTAAACGAACCATATCCTGCTCCTGCTCCACCACAGGATACGTTCTACATGCGTTCCTGGCTATTCGAACACGCTCACTTGAAACGGTACACAGGAAACGGGTTTTTCGCGCAGCTGGGAGTGCTTCCCTAAGAAATCCCCATCGCGAGATCTCATGAATCCCGAGAGCTTCAGAACAGTTCAATAGGTTTTTAGAAAGAGAAAATCTTCAGAAGCTCGGATCCGTTCTCAGATTTGTGAAATGTTGAGTTACAAAAAAATATAT